GTGACCCCAAACATGCTGCACGGCTTCATCTCACACCAGAAGACCATCTCCTATGCTGGGTGCTTCACACAGTGTCTCCTCTTCATTGCTCTGGTGATCACGGAGTTTTACATCCTTGCTTCAATGGCCCTGGACCGCTATGTGGCCATTTGTAGCCCTCTGCATTACAGTACCAGGATGTCCAGGAAAGTTTGTGTGTCTCTAGTCACATTCCCATATGTGTTTGGGTTCCTGAATGGGCTTTCTCAGACTCTACTCACTTTCCACCTATCTTTCTGTGGCTCCCATGAAATCAACCACTTCTACTGTGCAGACCCTCCTCTCATCATGCTGGCCTGCTCTGACACTCATGTCAAAAAGATGGCCATGTTTGTGGTGGCTGGCTTTACTCTGTCAAGTTCTCTCACTATCATTCTTCTATCTTACCTGTACATTTTTGCAGCCATCTTGAGGATTCGCTCTGCTGAGGGAAGACAAAAGGCCTTTTCTACATGTGGTTCCCACATGACAACAGTCACCATATTTTATGGAACGCTTTTCTGCATGTACTTAAGACCTCCATCAGAGAAGTCAGTAGAGGAGTCCAAAGTAATTGCAGTTTTTTACACTTTTTTGAGTCCAATGTTGAATCCTCTGATCTATAGCTTAAGAAACAAAGATGTCATCAATGCCATGAAACAGGTCATTAAAGGCACGCTCTTTCAATAAATGCCAATATATGCACATATTTTATTGAAATCACCCTGTGTCTTCTTTAACTTAGAAATTTTAAGGAACACATTTGCCTGTGTCATGTCATTTTTGAAACCGAACTCTCATTTGCTAATTTTTCTCATTTATTGTTGAAATTAATATCTTTAGAAATATATTTGGTAAAATATGTATTATTGAACAATATATTCATTAACAAAAAATAGATTTGTCTTGGTGTTCTATGATTCCATACAATGTGTACATGATTATATATCCATGATCCTTTTAACCTTTATAGTCAATCTTCTTTGACTAATATGATTAAAAACACATGCCAAAAGCATTTTATAATGTTTAAATCATTATATCATTTCTGATACAATGTCTTGAATAAGAACTTAGTCTGATGTCTCAATAATTATTTGAGCATTCTTGTAAACATTAAAGATGGATCAGCAGCCTATGATTTCTGTTATTTTTCTCAAAATACAGTATTCAATATTCATCCTAACTATTGAGTAGTACCAGGTATATTCTGGAAGTTTAAAAACCATCTGTTAAATGTCATCTATTTATAAATTGCTAAGAGTATTAATCGGAGCCATTCAGCTGCATACTCTGCCTATATTGTCTGTAGCATCTCTTACATTTAAAATTTGCTATTTTGGATCAATATGGTCTACCCATTGATGCTTTTATAACCAAGAATAACTTGCTGGAAACATGTCTGCACAAGTGAGGATAGTTGGATTGTTTATGAGATTTACAGTCAGGGAAATCTTAATGTTTGTGATAATCTTTATTTTTAATGAAAATATTAGATCTTTTCCTCCCTTCCTTTCCTTTCTCTAACCCATTTGACTCCCTCTCAAATTCATGTGCTCTTTAACTTTGATTATTATTAGCTAAATATATAAATACAGAAGAGCCAGAGTCAATGGAATCTTATTTCCTAGATAAAGTTGTTATAGTACTAACAACTAAAGCTAGTGACAGATTCAATAGTAGAAAAGGATAGGTAGAATGTTAACCTCCATTCATCTTAACTCATTCATTACTAGATTGTTGTATGGTGAAACATATATAGTTAACTTTTATTAAATTCTCTTAAATATTTGAGGTGTTTTTTTTGTTGTTGTTGTTGTTTGGTTGGTTGGGTTTTTATGAGACAAGGTTACTCTGGGTAGCCTTGGCTGTCCTGAACTTGCTTTTGTAGACCAGGCTGGCTTGGAACTCACAGGGTTCTACCTACCTCTGCCTCCCTGAGTGCTAGGGTCATAGGCTTGTGCCTCCACACTTGGTAAATACTTGATTCTTAATTTTTTTCTTAATGTTTATATAAGGATTCTTTAGAAATCTCTGTTGTAGAATGTATAACTGAGTTTTGCAGAAAATAAATCATCAATAGGTTTTTGTAAAGCTGGATCATTCTAGAGTCTTGGTCCACTGAATAAGTCCAAAGTTCTGTCAGATTTCTCTTTCAGAACCAATACTATAATAAAAGAAAGGGGATTTTCATTATTAAAATGTAATATTTATATTTGAGAAAGTAATAGTATACATAGTGGGATTTATGAAAGCTGATCTAATGGTGTCAGCAAATGGCGGAAAGTGAATGACAGTCTCGTTTTGTAATGTGGTCCCTGGTCCGCTTTCATTTTTATGACCTAAATTATTTATTCTGGGAGACTTCCACTTACATCAAACTTTCCAGTGTTGTTTCCATTTACAGCCATGAAAATATTTGTTATTGGAATCCATTTTTGAAATTTTGTCCACCTCTATGTCTTAGAGCACAACGGTTTATTTTCAGACACGTCACCTTTCTTAGTACAAGTGGTTGAACTAATTTTAGTCTTCCTATATATTTTTATTTGTATTTATATGTGATCTATCTATCTGCATCTATCGATCTATCGATCTATCTATCTATCTATCTATCTATCTATCTATCTATCTATCTAATTATACTTTACTGACAGTATTTTAGGCATATGCCATCTTTGAAGTTCTTTTAAAATATGATAAATTATGAATCATTATGCATAAAGTACTTGTGAATGACATTTAATAATATAGTTGCTGCTTTTCACATAATCATTTGTTGTAATCATCAAAAAGAAACAGTGAAAGTATAATTATTTTTATTCTTAATATTTAAAGTCTTGAGAAGAAAGAATAAATTACTTTCCTGAAAAGATTTTTTTTTCAATTCTAATTCCAATTATGTTTGTGCTTAACTCATATTGCTTTTAATACATAGTGCTTATTGCATTGATTTTCTAGCTTGGGCAGTGGTCACCATGTGGTCTCGACCCCTTTGGGGATTGCATATCAGATATCCTACATATCAGACATTTTCAGTGTAATTCATAACCGTTGCGAAATTACAGTTTTAAAGTAACAATGAAATAATTTTATGGTTGGGGATCACCAAAACAGGAGGAACTGTATAGAAGTATTGTTGCATTACGAAGGCTGAGAACCACTGATTTACGATATATGACAAAGAGTAGAATTATTGGATTAAATAGTATATGAATATATGTATTTATGTGTTTCTTGTACTTTATCTCTGTTCTTTTCTGTTTGTTTCTTTGTTTTGTTATATTCTAGTTTGTTTTTGTTTATATTTAGTCTTTTGTTGACTATTTTCTAATGAGAGGGAGAGGGTGTGAATTCAAATGGGATTGAAAGATCTTGGAGGAGTTGGAGAGGAGAAACATAATCAAAATATATTTTATTAATCTTCCTCTCTGGACCCGGATTAGGCAATGACCACACTCAAACTCCAATTTCCTGCACAAAATAGTCCTTTATTAAACAAGGCAAAAAACAAACAAACAAACAAACAACAAGATGGTTGGATCTTAATCAAGTAAGAACAGTTACAAATAACTTTGAAGGTGTAATTTTAAGGAATTCAAAAAATGAGGTCGGCGTTAGAATGAGCTAGGATGAGTTGGTAAATTCTAACTGAGCATGTTAATGAGGGTAACCAAATAGGGATCTTTGATTGCTGAACCTTGTTGTTTTGATAGTTGGACTTTGGCGATCAGCTTCAGGAATGAGTCACCATATGAAATTAATAGCTAGCTCTAGGAATGTGATCCAGAGTTTCAGCATGAAGAAGAAAGCAGGAAGGCCAAGACCTGCCTGCACCATGTTTGTCATGCCCAAGCATGCTGGAGTCCTTCAAAATATATTTTCAATAAAATAAAATTAGAGGAAAAAATTAAGTCAATGCACAATACAGTCTTTAAAAAACAAAAACAAATAAATGCTTTAATATTTTAAAATTCAAGCTGATTTCTTCTGGTGGAATTTATCTTCCAAAAAATGACTGATAATTTGTGCTTTTGACCAGTGCTTGATGGCAACTACTCCCAGTCTCTCCTCAGCATAAGGGAATGCTACCCAAGGGAGGAGCAGTTCTGCTAGGCCACAGAGGAGGACTTTGCAGCCAGCCCTGAAGATACCTGATAAAACAGGGCTAGATGAAAAGGGAGGAGGTCCTCCCCAGTCCTGTGGACTTGGAAAGGGGCAGGGAGAAGCTGAGAGAGGGAGGGAGGGTGGGATTGAGAGGGAATGGGGGAGCAGGATGCAGCTGGGATGCAGAGTTGATAAAACGTAAATAATAATAACAAACAATAAAAAAAACAATGTGAAAAGAAAAAAAAGATTATCTGTTACTTTGCGGATAATTTTTGTTTAGTAACCACTTGCAATCAGAAACTTGAATGTATAGAGATCTTCATGAAGAATAGAGAAAACGTTACCTTAATATTAAAAAAAGAATTTATATGCTAAAATGTAATGTATGGTTATCGCATGAACAGAAATCATGTTTTTAAGTTCAGGGAGTATATTGTAACTCACCTCGGGTTAAAAAAAAAAAGTTTCTAGGTGTCACTCAATTCAGATCTGCAAAGTGAAACTAAGAGCCTATATGCTAATGAAGACATGTTAGAGAGAAATTATCAAGCAAGACTGTGGTTGCTTAAGATATGTTTAATTGTGAGAGATGATGTCTGGGATTACATTTCCTCTCGATCAGATTTTCCAACAACTTTCAAATATGTAATTTCACTTATATTCACTTGATTCCAAGTTATACACTCAAAACCTATTCTTACCACTCCAAAGAACCATAGTTAAGTAAAACAAATCAGAAAAAAAACCTTTTTAATTCAAATTTTGGAGGGAATATTGTATATAAGTACTGTATTTACATGATTTTCATCTTTTTCTTGTTCTCTGCTTCTCAGCATCATAGTGTCTATTAAAACTGAAGGTGTGTTTTGCTTTTAATGAGCTACTGTAGGTGCCGAATTTTTCTCTACTTTACAGAGGGTTCTTATACACACTCTTCTCAGAGCTTGCTTCACATCCTTGTTTCTCAGGCTGTAAATAAATGGATTCACCATGGGACTCACAAAAATACAAAACACTGCCACAATTTTGCCTTGCTCAACAGACCTCTCATTTGCTGCTCTCAGATACATGCAGAAGAGGGACCCCTAGAACAGTGACAGCTGTCAGATGTGAGCCACAGGTGGAGAAAGCCTTGTGCTGCCCTTCACTGGAACAGATCCTTATAATGGTGATGAAGATAAAAATGTAGGAGATGAGGATGATGAGAAGGGAAAAGGTGAGATTGATCCCAGCTGACACAAACAGGGCAGTTTGCTTGATGTAAGTGTCAGAACACGTTAGCATCAAGAGGGGAGGGTCAGCACAATAGAAATGGTTCATGGTGTTGGGTCCGCAAAAGGATAGCCGTGAGGTCAATATCACCTGCATTGTGCCCACCATTGAACCCCAGAAGTAAGGGAAAGTAACCAAGCAAATGCAAACTGGCCGGGACATTTTTGTGCTGTAATGTAGGGGGTTGCAAATTGCCATGTACCTGTCATAGGCCATAGCACCGAGCATGTAATATTCAGTTAGGAGCAGAGTAACAAAAACAAAACACTGAACCAGACACCCTATGTAAGAAATGGTCTTTTTCTCAGACAGAAAATTGACAAGCATCTGAGGAGAGACATTTGTTGAGTAAAAAATATCCACACATGCCAAATGGGTCAGGAAAAAATACATGGGGGTTTGCAACCGGGGAGTGAACCTGATTAATAAGATCATGCCAATGTTCCCTGTCAGTGTGATGAGATAAATCATGAGAAACACCACGAAAAGAATTGGCTGCAACTCTGGCTGGGTGCTTAGTCCCAAAAGAGTAAACTCAGTTGCCTCAGTCCCATTGTGCTTGTCATCTGAGTACGTCTTCATATTCCCTAACAGAAAAATGAATAATAGATATAATTACATGACTTCCAAAACCCAAATCAATTCTCAAACACTGAAACAAAATGCTCTTTAGAAGTCTGTGTGGGAATTATTAAAAGAAGTAGTATGAATAGCTGACCAAGTGATAAAAGCTTCAATGACTATAGCCACTTTGGGATGTCGTCTGGCTACAGTTTGACATGGTTATCTTTAGACTCTAGAGGTCGATCCCTCCCCCATCCCTGTACCAGATCGCGTATTCCCAAACAGATAAACCCTTTGGAATATACTAAATTAAAGCTCTCCACCAGGGGAAAAGCTAAGTGTGTTATTAGACAGCTTCTGAGGACTTCAGATGAGATTCCTTTGTTGATGTAACTTTTTACTTGGGTTTCTTGTAGTTTTAAAATGCTTTGATCTATAATTTCCTTTGTGCTGTTACTATAAAAACACTATGAAGTTCATAAAGCTGCTCTATATGTTGGGGCACTGTATTTGAGAACTGAACATGTTTCTCTATGTGTGTTAACAAAAGGTAAAGTTGAAATTACTTCCAAAGTTAAAGAACTTCCCTGTTCCTGGCAGCTGATTTACTGTGCTGTTTATTACATACAGTGTAAGAGAGTTTACAGCCCTTGAACTATGCTGTTTTGATTGCTACACAACTTCGTCTTGAACTCTGCTATAACACAGGGACTCAACTTCATTCTTGGTGTTCCCAACAAGGAACAAGGACTTCTGCTCCTCAAATATAGTACCTGCCATAGGTGAATAGGGGAAGGGGGGAGTGGATGACCATCAGATACCATGTGGTCACTGTCAGCAAGGTAAACCTGGAGAGTGAGGGCCAAGCATTTGTTTAGAGTCCATCATCCATATAACTAAGCTTCACTTTTCCTTCTGGAACTATTTATTTATGTTTTTAATCTGTGATTCTCTATTCATCTATTAGTTGCTGCACGTGGGAAAATCTTAGTTTGTATTATGTTATCCAGAATACGAACAGGTGCCTGAATCATAACATATATTAAATAAATCATTATTTGGACCAATGAGGTAGTTTTCTAACTCATGGCAACTGATTGTTTTCTGGGCGTACAGATTTCTTACCTCTCTGACATTACCAGGGCATGAATAACTACAAACACTGACTATTAAGTAAATAATTTTTTAGGAGGAATGAAAATTAAAGAAAGAAGAAGCAACTAATTATTTCTTTAAATGATAATGCTAGTTCTCATGCTGCTGGATTTAGAAAGAAAATTAAAGCTGAATCTGAATTAAAAATGTAAGCCTCCTTTAGTCACCACAACACATCCCAGAAGTCCAGAAGGGCAGACAAAATAATAATTAAAATATTATTTTTTCCAGTTTCATTGAAAAGTACTCCAGTTATGCCTTAGGTGGAAGAATTAAATCGCTATGTATAATGTCAGGGTAGTAACTGCACATGTCAACTATAAGCTTCAGAGAAATTTTTTTGAGAATGTTAACAAAATGGATGATTCAGCTTAAAGTCTGAAATCTGTCAGAGTGTTGAGTAGGCTGATAAATTAACCTTATCCCATAGCTTAACCTGCAACATCAGCACTGAGGAGGATGTGGCAGAAAATTGCCACTAGTTTTATATCAGCCTGAGAACTTATATCAAACATGCATTCACACTCACAAACACACAAATACACACATACATACAGAGCAGAGAAAGATCATGCCTTTGATCAAAGCATTATTCACTTGTCTAGAAGACCTGGGTTCAATCATGTAATCATGATTCAGTATACGCTGGCATGAAAAGAGCTTCTAGAATTGAGGAAGAAAATGGTTTTACCATTTGGTTCTCTCTTTAGTTTGACTCAGCTCTCTTGACATTTCATTTCTCAGTAGAAATGTAGGAAAAAATTAAATGCATATGCAGTGGGAATATACCATCTTGTAACAGATTCTATTTTTTTTGAAAAGTCAAAAAGACTGCAAGACCTATGCATCCTCTTGAATCATCAGTTGTCACCCCTGCTTCTGCTTTGGAGACTCTGGTCTGTCTAAGACACTGTTTCATTATAACAATTTTTTTAAGGTTACTAGACATTCTACTTATATTTAAAGGATGAAAATCATAAGAAATCAAACATTACATACTTTGATTTTTGAACATTGGGACTGTCAGACTTACCTATGGGGATACAATGATTTTTAAGATATTATCTAAAAGATGAATAATTTATGTCTGAAGAATTAACCTTGGAGACACAGGCCTTCCTGCATTAATCAATGAATCATCAGGGGAAATCAATAAGATTCCCTCCGGAGTTATTTACAAGGAAAATATCTCTATTGGTAAGAATTTTAATTTATAATTTAATCATTAGATGTTTGGAGTATTTTCAAACAAATGTAAAAAACACTAGATTGGCTTTACTATCTAGGTTGTTTTAAGGGTCAGTTTAAAGATATCACTCTCCCCATCTCCATTTTTTAAAAATCAGAAAACCTTTCCATGACCCCATTTAACACTCACAAAGAATTATAATTTTTTCCTGTATTTCTCTAGTAGTTTCATCACCATTTTGTTCTACTTGTTTTAATTTCTATAAAAGTTCTAAAAACAGAAATTATATCAGTTTATCTTGGTATTCTCTGTAGAGATATGCATAAAAATGTAGTTATGCAATTACTGTATAATGAATAAATAAATGTGATAATTAGCTTAATTAGCAATTAAGCTAGTAATTAGGATATTTGGTACATAAACATGAACCATTAACATAAAGACATATTTATAATTTCAGAGAATTACTGATTAATAGAATTTTTCTCTACACATGTATTTGAAATCCACTTAAAGCTCTGGAGTTTATGGGCTGAAAAGTAATGATTGTTATGCATTGTTATTATTCTTTTGGAGTAATATATTACCTTCCCTATGACTATGAAATTCTTCCTCCCCCAAACTTCATTCATGATTAATGCTTGGCATTTAAAAAACATGGATTATGTTAAAAGGAAAAGATTTAAAATACAAAGACTGCTTTTTTAGCACAGCATATGAATGACTAGGAAAGGAAAACAAAGCAAGGAAGAGACTTCCAGGTCAGAATCAACAGTTTTCATGAATCAAATGAACCTAACAGATATCTACAGAGCATCTCACTCAAACACAGAGAATATACATTCTTCTCAGCACCTCTCAAGACACCTTCTCCAAAACTGAGCATATACTCAATCACAAAGAAAGCCTCAACATATACAAGAAGCCTGAAATAACCACTTGTATCTTCTTAGACTACCATGAATTAAAGATAGATTTGAACAACAGAACAAGAGAAAACCTACAGACTGGCGGAAACTGAACAACTCTCTACTCAATGACCATTGGGTCAGGGAAGAAATAAAGAAAAAAATTAAAGTCTTTATGGAATTTAATGAAAATAAAGGCACACCATATTTAAACTTATGGGACACAGTGAAAGGCATGACATATGCAACCTTATGGGACACAAACTTATGAGTGAAGAGGAAAGTTCATAGTTCTAAGAGTCTTTATAAAGAAATTAAAGCATTCTTATACTAGCACCTAAAAGCTCTAGAACAAGGTGAAGCAAACTCAACAAAAATGAGCAAATGACTAAAATTAATCAAACTCGGGGCTGAAATCAATAACTTAGAAACAAAGAGAACAACACAAATAATCAAAGAAACCAAGTGCTGTTTCGTTGAAAAATTCAACAAGATAAACAAACCCTTAGTCAAATTAACTAAAAGGCAGAGAGATAGTATCCAAATAACAAAATCAGAAATGAAAAAAGGAACATAATGAGAGACTCTGAGTAAATCCAAAGAATCAATAGATCTTACTTCAAAAGCCTGTACTCCACAAAATTGGAATAACTTAAAGGGAATGGACAATTTTCTAAATAGATTTCACCTACCAAAATTAAATCAAGATTAGGGAAACAGTTTATACCAAGAAAAGCCCAGGGCCGATGGTTGTAGCACAAAGTCTACCAGACTTTCAAAGAAGACTTAACATCAACATTCCTCAAACTATTTCACAATGTAGAAAGAGAAAGAACATTGCCAAACTCATTCTCTGAAGCCACCATCACCCTGATACCTAAACCACACAAAATTCAACAAAAAGGAGAATTTCAGACCAATCCCTTCATGAACATCCCTTCATGATGCAAAAATACTCAATAAAATACTTGCAAACTGAATCCAAGAACAAATCAAATACATCATTCACCATGATCAAGTAGTCTTCATCCAAGGAATGCAGAAATATTTTAACATACAAGAAAACCCATCAATGTAATCCACCATATAAATAAACCAAAAGAAAAAAGCACATGTTTGTCTCATTCAAAGCAGAAAAAGCCTTGATGAAATCCAACATCTCTTCATGAAAAAAGCCTTGGAGAGATCAATGATATAAGGCACATACCTAAACACAATAAAGGCAATATACAACAAGCCAATAATCAACATCATATTAAATGAAGAGAAACTTAAAGCAATTCCACTGAAATCAGGGACAAGACAAGGCTGCCCACTATCTGTGTGTGTATTCAATACAGTAATTGAAGTTCTGGCTAGGACAATAAGGCGACTAAAGGAGATCAAGGTGATGCAAATTGAAATCAAAGGATCACTATACAGAGATGATATGATAGTATAATTAAATGATGCCAAAAGTTCTGCCACAGAACTCTTATAGCTGATAACACCTTTAGCAAAGTGGCTGGATATAAAAATTAACTCAAAACATCAGTAGCCCTTCTTTACACAAACAACAAAAGGTCTGAGGAAAAAAATTAGGGAAACAATAACCTTCACAATAGCCACAAATACTATAAAATATCTTGGTGTAACTCCAATCAAACAAGTGAAAGATTTGTATGACAAGAACTTCAAGACATTGAAGAAGATATTAGATGGAAAAATGTCCTGTTCTCATGGATTGATAGGATTAACATAGTAAAAATGGTCATCTTTCCAAAAGC